CTGTTGTCTCGGTCTACATAAAACACCGGTTGGTTCAAGACATCATGTTCACCTTCTGGTAAAGTAAACCCGACAGATATTAACTATGAGTGGTTCAAGGCTTAAAAATGCCACCAACTCAAACACAGTGAATTTTTCGCAAACACTCTCGATAAGTCTGTCTAGTCTAGTCAAGATTAGAATAGTTATATTTTTTTTTTTTGAGTCTATCGAGTCTGCATATAGTCTGCATATTTTTAGAGTCATTTCTATTAATGTGGGGGATTGTTGGAACTCTGTTTTTTAAAGTTGATAGTTCCTGATTTTCCGGCGACTTTTCCGGCCAAGCCAGTGGTCGTTCCGGTAAGATCAGCAGCTCGTTGTAAAGCTTGTAACGAGTACTACAACGTGGTATATTCACACTTTAAAAACAGATCAAAATTGAATAAGAAATGAAGCTTCGAAGTTGGTATGTTGGTGTGGACAAAAAATGAAAAACCCAGTTTTGGGTTTTGTCCCACATCGGCCAGAAGTAACATCAGAGAGCAGTATATATATGCCTTTGTGTTATCATGGTGTAAACAGCTTGGAGAGAGAGATGGCTCCCCACGCGCGCGCCGCCGCCGCCGTCCGGCCGGCTCGGCTCGGCTCGGCGTGGGCTTGGGCTTGGGCTTGGGCTTTATTGGAGGGCCTTTGGCCCGATAAGAAGTTATCTTTTTGGACCAAATTAAGCTCAACGCTTTGCCATTTTTAAATTTAAAAACAGCATGACGTGTGTAAATAAACAACACGTAGTTTGTGAAAAAACAACACGAAGTCTATCTGTTTGCAAAACAATTTGAACGAGTCAAATANTTTCACGAGTGAAGCGTGATTCGTCTGCCTTGGTTGTATCCTGGGACTCGATATTCGTACAGTTTCGTCTCACTACGGAGCGAATATTAAGAGTTAAGGAAAGAGATTTATCTCGCCTCCATGTCTTATATAATCGTGTATTTCCTTAACTCCGTCCTTCTTATATCGTCTATGTCGATCCGGTTTTCCGGCTTCAACAGAAGATAGAGAAAAGAAACTTCAAGAATCAAGCACAAACCCTGATTTACCTCAGTCAGAGAGACAAGAACTGCAGAGCAAGTTTTCCAAACTCTTATCGATATTAGACGAGGTAAATCCACCTTAAGACAACTATAGTTTTTGCTCAATAATGATAAGCTCTCTTGATATTGTGTTTGATTCTTTTGTCTAAAGGTGGACAGAAGATACAAGCAGTATTACCATCAGATGCAGATAGTTGTGTCATCTTTTGATGTAATAGCCGGAAATGGAGCAGCTAAACCTTACACGGCCCTTGCGCTACAGACAATCTCTAGGCATTTTCGTTGCTTGAGGGATGCAATATCAGGACAAATCTTGGTGGTAAGGAAAAGTTTAGGAGGGGAAAATGATGGATTCGATGAAAGAGGAGGAGTTGGGATAAGCAGGTTAAGGAATGTTGATCAACAGGTAAGGCAACAGAGAGCGTTGCAGAGGTTAGGTGTGATGCAACCTCACACTTGGAGGCCTCAACGCGGTTTACCTGACTCCTCTGTTTTGATTCTCCGTGCTTGGCTCTTTGAGCATTTCCTCCACCCGTAAGTCTCTCTACTACACTTGTGAATTGTTGATTCATTGTCTGACCAATTTTTGTTTTGAAAACTGTTAAACTTAGTTATCCAAAGGATTCAGACAAGATCATGCTAGCTAGACAAACAGGGTTGAGCCGAGGTCAGGTACTGTAGTGTCTTTTCTCTCATCTGTAGTGTCTTTTCTCTCATCCAAGTGCTTTTGTTTGTTTGTTGTGTTCATTCTTTTGTTGTTTTGTTTTGATGGTTGTTGAAAGGTGTCGAACTGGTTTATCAATGCACGTGTGCGTCTTTGGAAACCGATGGTGGAGGAGATGTACAAGGAAGAGTTCACAGACTCATTGGAGGAGAATGTTACCAACTTGTCTTCCGGAAACAGACCAGAAACCACGGTGTCTCAAGAACAGCAACTCGTCTCTAGTTCCAACAATGGCGGCGCAAGCACTAGCATGAGACAGAGCACAGTGGCACCTGGTGGTGACAGCCGGTTCACGATGGTCACTGAGATGACGAGAAATGGTAGTGGCGGGATGTCGTTAACGTTAGGGATGCAGAATACTGACCTTCACGGCGGCGATGTACCTATGTCCAGCGGAAGAGACAACTATGAGAATACCATCCCGAGAGCCGGTTTCCAGTACTTAAACTCAGGCAACAGCCAACACCGGCTTGGCTCTTCACAATTGTTGCAGGATTTTGTAGCTTGATGAGGAATAAAAAAGAGAAGAGTAGTAGTAATTATATTCTTTTGTGAAAGTAAACCATCAGATGAATTTGTAGATTAACAAGGAAAACTCAAATAGCCTAAGAGGCAACGTGGGCTTAAAGGTTTAACATGAAAGAACACTAGAAACTCATACTTAATGAAACAAAACCAAAAGCATGTCCAAAAGATGTAACCATCTTTCCTAAAGACCAAAAGGACCGAACCGAAGTTATCTTATTGACAGGTTTCTAAAACCTAAGCATGTCCAAACCCAAAAGACCAAGTTTCCGTTAGCAACTGTCTTGGTTTACCTGAAATAAAAGAAGCATTGCAGAAGTTTCATATAACAGAGAGAGAGAGAGAGAGATGATGACTTGTGTTTACATCTGGTCTTAATTCTGATGTTACCTTTTGTAGAGAATTCTTATGTCTTCTCTTAAGGCAGGACTTTCAAGGAACATATCACCAGCATCATCCACATCGACTGTCTCTACCTCAAAGTTACGGTATCCACAGTACTCGTTCCACTCGAACCACATCTTTGAGATGACTTCCTTTTTAAAGCAAGTGTTGTGATCCTCTTCCTCAGGCGATGACCCAGCTATCAATCTGTACGCATGCACTTTCTTTGTCTGTCCGGGTCGAAAAGCTCTTCCAATTGCTTGTCGTGTCACAGAAGGGTTTAGAGGAACATCCAGAATCAGTATCCGAGATGCTCCAACTAGAGAGATACCTTCTCCACAAGCCCTTATCGAACCGAAGAATACTTTGGCGTCTGGCGAATTGTTGAACCTTTCCATAGAAAACTCACGCTGCTCAGCGCTGGATTCACCTGTTAGAACAAAGACTTCTTTCCCTAGTTTCCATCCTTTAGCTAGAGCAGCTAGTCTTTCAAGAAACTTCAGAGGCACGAGATATTGGCTGAAAACCAAGAGCTTCTCACCTGCTGAGTCACACAGGTCTATCAAGTTAAGGAAGAATTTCGCTTTGACTCCTTCATTCACATCTAGCTTCTCTAGCATCTCGTCCATAGTCGTATCAGAGATATTATCAGACTTCTCAGAGAAAGCGTTCAGCTTCGGATGAAGGTAAATTGCACTCCCCACAGCTGAAACCTTGAATTTTCTCTTCTCACGCCTCAACTTCTTCACTTCAGTCAACTGCCTTGGAGACAGATTGAGCACCACAGTGAAATCATCAAGCCCAGGAAGCTCATCTAAGAAGTCTCCTTTGTAGTAATGAAGCACCTTCTTTGTCATCTCCCTCAAATCTTGGATCATGTTAATTTTCATCTTGAAATCCTCGCACTTCTGCAGTGTGTGCTCCACAATCTCGTTGAAAGCTGCAGATACATCTCCTCCCAGATGAGACCTGACAGCGGATATAGGAGCACGGTCCAAGATCTTTCTAACAATAGACTTGGAAGTATCCAACTTGAGGAACTTGGGTCGAACGAGGTTCAGAATGTTGAAAACCTCCTTTACATGATTCTGATAAAGCGTTCCTGAAAGGACAACTTTCCTTGGTGTTTGGACTTGGGCAAGGGACTGCAATACATTTGTGTCCTCGTTTCTGGGAGTGTGTCCTTCATCCAAAATAAGAATCGAAGGTACTTTCAGTAATATCTCCTGGCAAGAACGTGAGTCAGCACTTGTATCATCACAGACAATGGTTGAGAACTGCTTGTAACCAAGAAACAAGATACTCTTCTTCTCCATCCACTGTTTCAATATAGCCAGCTGTTGTGCACGGTTCTCTGCTTTAGCACTGTAGAAGTCAAGCAGTGGAATGTCCTCGACTTGCCATCTCACAAACTCTCTTTTCCAGGTAGATAAAATCCCCTTTGGAAGCACAACCAGTGGCTTAGCCTGAGGATACTTGGCAAGGAAGCTCTGCATGAAACTGATGATCATGAAGGTTTTACCAGAACCTGGAGCATGAGCCATGATACAGCCACCAGGCTCATCTGCTACTAAGTTGCTGCAAAGGAATTGGAACCCCTCAATTTGATGAGGCTTCATCTTGTCAGCATGCGTTGGATGAGCAGAAAGTCCACCTATCATCAGCCCTTCTTCAGATAACTGAATCTCAAAATCAGATTCACCAAACTTTTTCGTCCGAGCTTCAGAAGCATATGTTCTCGTGCTTCTTTTCGCCTACAACCAAGAAAATAAAGCTGTTAGAGGTACTATTATAAATAGAGCATACACGAAACATACTTTTCCATCAAAGCAGAGTATCAGAAGAAAGAGACTTACTTTACTGAAATTGACATCAATAATGTCTAAGATGCTTTTGTCAATAACTCCGCAGACACGGCAAACATAACCCATATCGTCCTTTAGAATAAAGGAGTGCTCACAGTCTTCCACTTCATTGGTCTTTGATTCATTACGTGAAGTCTCCACATCCTACACGTTTATCGTGATCTCAATGAACAAAGGTAGCAGAAAAAAACGATAACATAAAGACTAAAACGAAAGGAGACTTTCGCAACTACTAATTATATCAGATGCAATAAAAAAAAAAAAAAAAAAAAAAAAAAAAAAAAAAAGAGCACTAGAAACAAACATTACAAGGATATACCTTTGAGCACACTATTGACATAGCCATTTCATTCCAGATATTACCAAGATCCTCATCTGCTGCTTCAGACTCATCACCACTTTCTTCTTCCTCAACTCCGACATAGACACCCTTATCGTTGACCACACCATTTTCTATGGCAAGGACCTTTTCTTTCCTTTTTTGTCCCACGTAGACATCTTTGTCAAGAGCCATACCGCTTTCTATTGCAAGGAAGTTGCCTCTGCTACTCTGTCCCTCCTGTGAAAATTACAAAAGCAGAAAAGGTCAATACAGAGAATGACATTAAACTTGTAACCTTCAAGCAATACCACCACATAAGGTTGAAAGAGAAAGGAATTTACGACCATGGGCGTAATGGCACAAGAAGTCTCCTTCCCCTTCCCCAAAACAACCTCCTCAAAAGCGAATTGTGGCGTTACAGGCTGCACATCACCTAGACTCTTCTGATGTTGCACAAGACTTGACTGAAAGGGGTACTTGGGCTTCTCACTCTCAACATCTTCATCATCAGAGTCAAGAATAACAATCTCGTTCGACGGAACCACACAGAGAGCTTTCTTGGAAGCATCAGCATCAGCATCCAAGTCGATGACACAATCCAAAGCAAGCTGATTTTCCAAACTCATAAGCTCTTGACCATCGTCTGCTCCGAAGACAGTATTTGCTAGTGATGGATATAACCAGATGCAACGCTTCACCAGTTCCATCCTCAGGTTAGCTACCTCTTCCAGTTCTTTGGTGACACTGCCGAACTTACCACCATCTAAAGCTTCAAGCATGTTGCTGACGGCAAAGGGGTGTGAAAAGTCTGTAACTTTCGATGAGTTCCTAAGCCGCTTTGCTTCAGAACTGAGACAGAGTCCATCCTCACGCTTCCTTTTGTGGCTACCTGTCATCAATCAACACACACATTTTATTTGACCCAATCAGACATGCAAATCGGAAACCTGAATGTTGTTTTGAGTCGCGAAATCGGAAAAAAAGGTGAGAGGGAATTGAGCAGACATTATACCGTTAGAGAGAATCTCCATGACAAGGAAGGAAGAAACAAATGATTTTTTTTCCAGTCGCCGCTTCTTAGTCTCCGGCTTCGAAGCTTATTAACCCCAAGAAATTTTTCTGGCGATTTTATTTTATTTTGACCATATTGTAATTAGGGATGAGAAGTGGTTTATTATAGGGCTTATTTCTTAATTAGGTATAAAGAAAAATTAGATTTTGAGAGATAAAAAATGAAGAGAGAGAGAGAATTTTATTTTGTGCATAAATCATCTTCTCTAAAAATCTAAATCTAGAAATTAAGTTGTTTAGGACTGGAACCTCCTATTTAGATATCTTATATATTAAAACAGAAGTCACAACCTTAATTCATGTGTGATATTTTTAAAAATAGACTATCCTTATAAAATTTATTAGATTTTCTATAACATTTTTATAATATCTTTTATATATTTATTTTTATTTGAAATACAAAAAAAAAATTATAAAAATTCTAACAATATCTTTGTAAGATCTTTTAGATCTTTTCAAATATATTTTCGAATTAGTTAACTAAAATTTTAATAATAAGAAAATATAATTAAAACAATTATTCATTTCTTATAACACAAATTAAAAATATATAATTTTTTTAACATTATTCTAAAAATTTGCTTTTTATAATGTTGTTCCAACTTAATTTCACTTTCTCATATATTTTAAATTAGAAATAAAATAATTATTAGTGTTACATAATAATGTTTTTGAAAATAAAAATTTAAAATTTTAAAATAATAATATTATAAGCCACACAAATATTATTATAAATTTAGATAATATATATCATCAAATTATATTAATATACTGATAATTTTTATTGTATAACATAAAATATTTTAGTATTCAAAAAACCCGCACGGTTGTGCGGGTCAAAATCTAGTCAAACTATTAAAACAGAAGTACAATTAGAAAATAGCCCTGAATTTTTCTTAATAATTACATCTTTAATTCTTTATGCAACTGAGTTAATAAATAATAATATTAATTATTAACAAAATCATTTATCACATTTATTCCAAAATGATCGCAGACCTCACCAGCTTCGTCTTCTTCCGCCGACGATGGCAAAACCAAGATCATTAACGTGAATCCTTGACATGACCATCCAATAAAGTCGGGTACTTTAGTTCACATAAATTGATTCCGGTCTAGAATCAGTATCGCCTACGCACATCGCTTCCTCATCACCACAACCATGACCACTTTTAAATATGTCGAAGATTTGTAAGTCTCAAAGAAAAACTTCCATCCTTCCAAAGAAAATCTCAGTTTTTTTTTTTGATTTTTGATTCATATTCTAATACTGTTTCCTTATATATTTCTCAGGAACTACAAAAATTCATATTTCTCAAAGTAGATGGATTAACTATAGAGGATTTGAACAAATTATAAATAGAGTTTCTGTTCTTGATGGGATTCAAGCTACATGTCGAACTTGAGGTGAATTGTGTTGTTTTATAGTTGAAGTTACAAGCTTTAAGGGGATGGATATGGCTTAAGTATAAGCACAAAACCAAATTTGATGTAGTTTAGGAATAAAAAGAAGATTACAAGTTGAGTCTTATAAATTTCAAGTTATATGTATAGATCATACTTGCATTTCACCTTAAAAAAACCTTTGGGGTTGCTCTCAGCTCGAAGCTGCTGAATTCTCTAAATGAGTTATGTACAGTTCCTTATTTTACCTCAATAACTTCACAAATATGAAATTTTATGTTGTGCAACAGTTTTACCTAGAAAAGGAATTCACTCGTATGTGCGCCGAGTATACTTATACTCTAGAAACGATTTGATTCCGTTTAGACCTTCGTTTTCTGCATTAACTATCATTTTATCTTTATTTTATGTGTTTCTCAGGGATAACCAAGTTTCCACCTGTTTGGATTCATTTTGTGTATGTGTTGCAGTCACATCTGTGAGAGCACTTATGTCAGTTCTTCAATGTAATAACAATATTTTTACTGAGTTATCTTCAGACGAGTAAGAAATTACCTCATTTTTCAACATATTGTATATAATTCTGTCTTTCAGAAGTCTGCTTCTATTAAGAGCGCTACTAAAATGATTTTTATTGAGTTTATTTAAAGGGAGAAACTAAACCCTATGAATCTCTTTACATGGTTCCCCTAACTGTTGTACTCCTTTTTCTGCTATCCTTATCAGAAATACGTTGTTGGCATTACAATTGCACTTGCCAAACACACCAACGCTTTGACTCTGCAGGCAAGCAATTCATCTCTTATGAACATTAACACTTTTTATGAGAATTTTTTTCCTACTTAGACTAATTTCTATCATCTATAGCCATTGTGTACGTGATCACCTCTTATAAGATATAAGCGAATTGTGACTTCCTCTTTGACAGGTGCTAATGAATCGCAGTGGTGGTTTTGATTCTAATTTTCAGGAATCATGTCTAAGTGATTGGAGTGTTAGGTTACTTGATCACGTATTGCAGGGTTACAGCAAAGCCAAGAAACAAAGGTTTATTTGTTAAGTCTCTCAAGTAAAAACACAAAACAATTTCCGTTTTCTGTGAACAAAAACCACTACACAGAATCTTCGGACCATAAAGCTAAAGATGTGTAAAGCAGAGCAATCATTTAAAAGACTTCTTAAATAAGTGTTTCGAATAAGTCATGTTTCTATCCTTCTTTCTTTTTCTGTTTACTGATTTTTTGCAGAAAAAAAATAATGTTATATAAAAGTAAGGAACATCTCTTATACAAAAAAATACTTCGATGAACTTTTTTATATCAATTAGGTTTTGGATTCCAAATGACCAAGAAAATTGAAGTCAAGAAAATTCTAATCTTAAATTGAATTGGATAATCTTAAAATTTAAAATAAAAGTCTTAAGTTTTAAATATTAAATTTAGTTTATTTTCTGAAATAGAAAAAAAGTATTTTTCTTTCAAAATGAAAATTTTAAAACTCTGTTTTTAATTTATCTACCTTCTTTCATAAATCTTAAAATAAAGTTAGAATTTTTGTGATTTTGAAGATTTTTTTTTTTCTAATTAGTATCTAAACTATTTGGGGAAGTATAAGAAAATACAATCTTTAATTTTTCTCAAAAAATACAATAGAATGTCACTGCAATTAAAAAAAATGTAATTTTACTATTATATTGGTTTCCATATAAGTTTAAGATCCACTAATTTTATATCAAAATCAAATTGTCTAAAACCAAATTACTTAATTAAATTTAAAAATAGCATTTGTTAATAAAATTGTTAGAGCTCTTATTTTTTCATTAATCCTTTTTAGTTGTTGCTGTCTAAATCATTTATTTATCTTTTAAATATTTATAAAATCTTATTTTAAATAATAATTTCAGTAAAAAAATTATAGTATAATTTAATAAAACACACACAATCTAAACAAGATACTCTAATATTTTACACTTAATTGTTTAGTTTACCAAGTAAAAAAGTACAATATAAAAAAATATACAATTTGATATTTAGAAAAAAACACTAAACAAAATGAAGAAGATTCACCGACATCAAAGCTCAATAACCTATTAAACATAAATATGAATGTTTTTTTACTACTAATATAAACATATATTTATACAAAACATACATCCGCGCGGACGCGCGGGTCAAAAGCTAGTAGAAACCTTTAAATATTAACCATACGGTGTCCACGAGCATTTTAGTTAGATAATAAATTATATTTTTCTAGTATTATTAGACCTGATTTTCCTTTATTAAAAGCTTCAATATTATTTTGTTCAAAAAAAAGTTTTAATATTGACAAAAAAAAAATTCAATAAACCGATCGAGGTTATGGAAGCACTGTAACGTAATGGTTAAGGTTTAAAGGTTTCTACACCAGGTTTGGGGTTCGAATCTCAGGCTACACAGTTTCTACATTAAGAGGGTTTCAATTCCCAAAAAAGGTGAATGACGAATTATGCAAATTATTGGAAAAAAAAAAGCTTACAAGAGATCGTCAGTATGGCGCAAGGCGTATCGTCAGGAATGAATATGGCGGTTCAGGATGATGCAGTAAGACTTGAATCCGCATAATGCAGGTAGAATTATCGGCTGTAATATCATATATGTAATAATTCTCATAGTTTGTAATACATAATTAACCAATGTTAAAAAACAGCGATCAAGATTAAATTCTTTTTAATTGAGTCATCTTGTCTTTGCTTCTTTCGAACACTGGTTGATGACATGGTAATCGTTGTTTGGAATTTTACATCTTAATATAGTTCAATTATATTGACATGGTGATTGTGGTCAAATGGTAAAGAGATGAAGTTGGAATACCAAAATATTTAGCTTTCTAGGGAGGAAGCTGATTTACCGAGGGTGAACCCTCTTCTGTCTGAGACTCCCCTGCCGGGGGGAGTCCGAGAGTGATTCCTCGAGAACTCGAAGTTCAAAGGAATTCTCCTCGAGAAACTAAGTTACAATTATTCTTGACCATCTAACACGTATGGACCCATGCTTTAAGGCCCATTTAAATACTCTGAGAGAAAATCTATCTTTGGGCTGCACCTCCTTTAGAAATTAGTTTAGATCTCTCTATGGGTCTGGGATACCCCATGTTAATCAAAATAATATAGTTCAATTATATAAAAAAAAACTAGGTGTTTTGCCCGTACATGCGAATATAGTTCTTTTATAGATATTTTTAATAAATTTACAATTAGAGTAGAGTAGAAAAAACATCGAATTTATACAATTTTAATAATCTTTTAATTTTTAAGTTTTAACTTTTATTGATTTAAACTTGAATATTTTTTATTTTATAATACGTTGTTATGAGACACTGTGATGCTCCATGGCAGTAAAGACGCATGTTATATTGACAGATTCATCCTCTTCCGCTATCTTGGACAATGATTATCGCATCGCATTTGGCGATGTGTCAGATTTTGTGTTACCGCTAGGTATCCTGATGCTATCTACCTGATTAGGTATTTATTTTTCTGAGGAGCCTTAATCTTCCATGCCTGAGCTTGTAGTCTCGTGATACTGGGTTCTACTACCAAAGCTTCTGGAGCTTGGTGAAGGATATTTCTGACGACCCAATTCCTGATTGGACAGTATACATACCACTTTTCGTATAGCTCTAGCTGAACTTATCCTCTTTGTGTGTTTGACTGATGGCCATCTCCAGTATCATAGGGATATCCTGTTGTGCCACACATCTCTATAGCATCCCCACATCCCAAAATTTTGGTGTACCATGAATGAAGCGAGATAATGTCATCCTCGGATGAACCTATGGTGCCACTGGTAAAGCAGGACGTGGGAAAACCGTAGGAATCCAAGGATTCTCCCATGCATTAATTTGATATCTAGAGTGGACACTCTGGCGAATCCCTAAAAGTAGTACTGGTCGTGCTTCCATCAGGCTTTTCCAAACATACGAGGGTGATGCCGAACCTGGTGATTTTGAACATGTACGATGGTACCTTCCTCGTAAAACTCTTGCAACAAGAGAGTCAGGAAACTGTATCACTCTCCACAATTGTTTCTCTAGGAGAGCTAGATTGAATTCATGAATCAATCGGAAACCGATTCCACCTTTTTTCCTTGGACAGCAAAGTTTTTCCCATTTTGCCCAATGCATTCCTCTGTTAGGTGGATTTGAACTCCACCAGAAGCGTGTTATGGCACTTGTCAGTTTGTCGCAGATTTCAAGTGGCAATAGAAAGCCTGACATGACATAAGTTGGGAGAGCCAGGGTAATCGTTTTGATCACAACTTCCTTTTCACCCTTAGTTAGCCATTTGCATTTCATTCGTTGATCCTGTGATTTAGCTTATCCTTAAGGAAAGCAAAGAACTTGCATTTTGAACCACTTATGTCTTCTAGGATACCAAGGTATTTTCCCATTCCACCTTCATTTTCGATACCCAGAATTATTTAATTTGTTGTTTCAATTCATCCGGGATTTGTTTTCCAAAAAGGAGCGAGGACTTTTCAAAGTTTATACACTGACCAGAGGCCTTTCCATATGATTTGACTACTTTCATCATTTCATCACATTCACGGGGTTCCGTTTTACAAAATAAAAGGCTATCATCAGCAAATAACAAGTGGGACACCAAGGGGCTAGCACGTGCTACGCGCATCCCGGTATCTTTCCTTGATTCTCGGCATGATTAAGAAGGCTAATGAGCGCTTCCGTATATAAGATGAAAATGAAAGGAGATAAAGGATCCCCTTGCCGCAATCCTCTATGTGGTATAATATTTTTCGGCTGGCCATCCATAAGAACCTGATATTTGACTGTTGTAACACACCTTATAATCCATTTAATCCATGTTTATGAGAAACCCATGTTTTTCAATACTCTCTAGATAAAGGTCCATTTCATTATGTCATATGCCTTACTCATATCAGTCTTAATCGCCATCCTCTTTTTTCTACCACCTTGTTTCGTCCGGAGAGTATGAAACATCTTCTAAGCTATTATGATATTATCTGTAATCTCTCTGCCACGAAAGCAGATTGTGTTTCCAAGATCCGATCTAGTAAGACTTTCTTAAATCTCAGACATAGAACCTTAGAGATTATCTTGTAGTTCACATTACATAAACTTATCGGTCGTAAATGAGCCATATCAGTCGATTTATCTGTTTTTGGGATGAGACAGATATTTGTATCATTCAGTCCATGATATACAATATCCTGAAATAAGAACTCATTGACCATACGAGTCAAGTCTCCCTTGACAATATCCCAAAACTTCTGGTAGAAAAGAGCAGTCATGTCATTTGGTCCAGGGCCTTTTTCAGGATGCATAGCAAACAAGGTTAGCCTGATTTCCCATTTTGGTTACCGGTGTCGTAAGGGATTGGTTCACCTCATCCAAAATCGTCGATGCTATATTCCCCAGCGCTTCATCTATCTCTTCTGGTGACGATGATTCAAAAAAAAACTCCTAAAATAGCAAGTAACAATGGCTACCATACCCTCTTCATCTTCAACCATACTTTTAGAAGGAACTACCAATCGAGTAATTTTCTTTCGCGCTCGTCTCCGTTTTGTCAGGTTGTGGAAGAATTTTGAATTCATATTACCCTCTCTCAGCCATAATATCTTACTCTTTTGTTTCCAAAACATTTCTTCTTCCTTAAGAGTTTCAGAGAGTTCCTTTACTGCTGCAGCTAGTTCTTCCGTGGTCACATTATCATCAACATACATGGCATATACTTTCTCTTTCAATTCTTCAACTTGCTTCTCTGAGTTCAGGTTGTTTTGATGCCGCCATATACTCAGAGCTTGATCACAACTAGCTATATGAGCCATGATGTTTGCATCCGTGGGAATCTCCAGTGATTTTCATCCCTCTTGAACAACCTTATTTAATTTCTAATTATTAGATTATGACCCGTCCTTTCAAAGGGCATGTATATTTTTTGTTTTAAATTCTCGTTTTGAGAAATTTTCTATTTGTGTTCTTAAATTATATTTGTGTTTAATATTAATTTAATTTAATATAATTTCTTATAAATATATTAAATTGCATAGCTATACACTTGTATCATATGCATTTCGGAAATTATTTTTAAACTTTATTCCTATAATTTGCAATATATTATATTGTCTTAGTATTTATCTCAAGAATACTCGTACTCGAAAAAAAGTTGATTCGGAATTGATCCGAAAATCAAAGTCTCATATATCTATTAAGACATTGCCTACATACTCGAATGATTTTTAAAATATTATCTCCAAACACCAATATCAAATCCAACCAACTTCGAAACACAACCAATTTTTTTGAAAAATGTTTGAAAAAATAAATTTAATATATTTTATTAAATATATATGGTCTTCACTAAATTTAATTAAATCACATTTACAAAAAAAATTGAATAACCTATTTATAACCCGTTATACTAAACCAATATCGAATCTGACCAACAACGAAAACAAAACAATATTTTGAAAAATGTTTGAAAAATGTTTGAAAAATAATAAATCTTAATATATTCTATTAAATCATATATATATGGGTTAATATGGTCTTCACTAAATTTAATTAAATCACATTTACTAAAAATTAATGGAATTGCCTATTTAAAATCGTTATACTAAAATTTGTAAACTATTTAAAATTTTAATAATTAATGTCTGGTTGAAAACCCCAAATTTCTTGGGGTGAGATGTAATCTATATTATTGCAGTATGATAATGATTTTTAAAAATTAAAATGATTTCAATTGTGTTTTTGCTAAAAATATATGTTAAATATGATTAAAAACCTGCAGTTCCGATTTTTCTGGAAAAAATATTATATCAATATAAACATATTTGAAACATACATGGACGGAATTAAATAAATATAAAATAAAAATCAGCTTCAAATATTTTAATATAAATTGTATATACCATTGTTATTAAGTTCATCAAAAACTGTCAAAAAGCAAGACGCAATTTTAATATAATTAATATTCATTTAAGAAGTAATATATGGTTATTAAAAGTACTAGGAAGTTACGTATTTTATTTTCTCTACAGCAAATAGGAAAACAACTGACGTTATATATTTGTATAGTAACGATTAATAGGTAAGAAAAAACTGACGTAATAAATTTGTAGCTACCCCCTACATATTGGCATCGTTTTTTAATTTCTGTTTAATATTTGAATAAATAAGAAATATCCATGCAGTTATCAGGTTTGTGGCTCCTGATTATTAGGTATGTGGTGGTTACATTAGAAAGTAAATTTCGTTGCAGTTATATTAAAAAGTATGTATCATTAATATTTTAAATTAGACCCAATTATTATCAATTGGACATGTTCCAGAATTAATAGTATTGATATAGCCATCGCTTGTCACAATTGATTTTTTATTTATTTTAAATGGCTTAGATAGAATCATAGCAAAGACTGGATGATGGTCCGAATTCCATAATCTCAAATACTTAACCTTTAAGTGGCTAAACTTGTTATGCCAGCTAACATTACCTAATGTTCGATCTAATCGAAATATGAACTGTCGCTTGATTTCTTTTGTTTATTCTCACCGATGCCATCCAATGAATAAGTATTTGCAACGACAGCAAATGTATCTTTCTGCATCACAATAAAATACACTTTGGTTTAATCCACATCACACAAGTAAGAGTTAATTCGTGTTACAAAAAAAAGTAAGAGTTAATTCAAGCGCCAGCTCAAACTTCTATTAATTATCGATCACTCGCACAAGCGAATACCAAAGTAACCTCTCGAAATTACAAGAGAACATCGAAGTATGCCTCTAGTGGCAAACTCCACTTTTTGCTTAACAATAAAGTTATGTATATACTATATTCCTCTTGTGCTTTTCATCTGATCTTTGTTTCAAGAGAGGATTCTTTTTTCTTGGTCAAAGTTGTTCGTTGATTTAGAACCTGAAACACTGGAAAAAGTACAACAATCTTTAGGGACATAGTCAAAGAATGTTAGAAATTAATTGAGCTTCTAATATATATTGATTATAAAAGTCCGCTGAAGGATTTATCTCACCAGTCTCTTCTTTGTTTTTTTCTTCTCGATATATTCAAGTATCCCCTTCTGTTTGGCGATCGTTTCATCCAAAGCCTAAACCGGAAACGAAGCCAAATCAATCATTAACTATATTTTAATGCTAATTGTATGCCACTCTATGAGAAGAAAATGTGGTATTGAACAAAATTGAAAATAATTTCACTGTCCGCTTATAAATTAGTAAATAAAAATTGGTAAATCCGCTTATCTATACTATTATTTAAGGACTTATTCTTAGGTTCACCCCCTAGGATGACCTCACCATCCAATAGAATTACATCATTTTATATTTTATATCTTTTTAAAAAGGAAACAAAATCTTATTAAGTTATATTATGCTTTGAAAAATAAAGATACAAAAAGATAATTAATAATTAATAAAGAAGAAAATAATTATTTTTAAAGAAATTATTTTAACACTACTCTAAAGTCGTAAATCACAAACCTTTGGATAAATCTATAAAAATTTAGTGTTTATGATTTACCCTAGGGTTTAGGGTTTAGGGTTATAGTTTAGGGTTTAGTGTTTTAGTGAAAAGAATTTTTTTTAAAGATTTTTTTTTTTATAAAATTTACCAAAAGTTTATGATTTACCTAGGGGTTTGGGGTTTAGGATTAGAGTTTAGGATTAGAGTTTAGGGTTTAATTTTAAAATATATTTTTTTTAAATGTTTTTCGTTTTTTTTAATTATTATTATTATTTATTTATTTTTGTATTTTTATTTTTAAAAACATGATATAACTTAACAAAATTTTGTTTCCTTTTTTAAAAGATATCAAATATGAAATGATGCAATCCTATTGGATGTCTAGAATAACTCTTATTTAACCCAAGAATAACTCTTATTTAAGAAGTAAATTTGTTTAGTTGTCATGTTCTCCATAACTTTAGGTAATTTGGTTTATTATCATATTTTTAATATTTATATATAATTTATTTATAAATAAAACGAATTTATATGAATATATCATATTTTTAGAAAATAAGATAATTCATGTGAATTATGTTGTTATCTTGAAATATATTTTCTATATAAAAATTAAATTTTAAATTAAGATATAAAAATTATTTATTTATTATGAAACTAAAACGAATTTATACTAAGAATTTTATATTTTTCTAAATAAGACAATTCTTATGTATTATGTTCTTATGTTGAAAAATATATTTTCTTATTATAAACTTAAATTAAGATATAAAATTTTATTATTAATAATTCAATATAAATCATCAAAAGAATTATTTGATAAGTGAATTTGTTGATTTGTCTTCATGATCCTAGGTAATTTTGATCATTTATCAGAATTTCTTTAATTTTGTTTATTATTGATTATATAATTAAAACTAATTTATATTAATAATATGATATTTTAGAAAATAAGTTAATTCTTATATATTATGCTGTTATCTTGAAAATATAATTTTCTATTATAAATTTAAAATTAACATGTAAAAGATCTATACTATTATTTAAGAAGTGAATTTGATGTTTTCTGATTTGTCATATTTTTATGATTTTAGGTAATTATGATAATTTATCATAATTTCTAAAATTTTATAGATAATTTATTCTATTTTTTTTAAAAAAATGTATTAATAGTATTAGATTCTTAGAAAAAAAGATACTTCTTATGTATTAAGTTTTTTTTTTGAAAATACAGTTAAGATATAAAAAGTTGTATTTATTCTATAGTTGACATAAATTTACACTAATAATATTATAATTTTAGAATATAAAGTAATTCTTATGTATTATGTTGTTATCTTGAAAATATATGTTTATATTATATAATTTAAAATTAAAATAGAAAATAATCTATTATTAATGAAATATAAATCATCACTCAAAAAAATTATTTAAGAAGTGAATTTGCTGATTTATTAAGTTCTCCATGATTTTAGGCAATCTCAGTTATATGTCATAGTTTCTATAATTTTGTATAAATAAAAATAAATAAATTATTCATTATATTGTTATCTTACAAATATGTTTTCTATTATAAATTTAAAATTAAGGTATAAAAAATTATAATAAAATATAAATTAAGTACAAATATTATAAATTAATATAAATCAAACAAAATAATTATAAAAATATATTCTTTTAAATATTTCTGACGTTTTAGTTTTGTTATTGCTAATTATTAGATGTTTGATTTGTACTTTTTGAAAACATAAATAATAATTTATTATGCTGATTTTTAAATTAATGAAACATCAACTAATAAATATTTAGAAGAGAATTATGCCCGCAAGTGCCGCAAGTGCGGCAAAACATCTAGTAAAGTAGTAAATAAAAATATATTATGCAAAACGAGTTTATTTCTACTTGTTTTTTTGTCTGAAACTTTTTGCTATTTTCTTATCGCAACTTTCGCGTTTGTTAATAACATAACTAAAATCTTTGTTATTGGCCGTCTACTAAATTAAATCTAGTTTGGCTGAGGTTAGATCTTACTTTTTTGGTCTCAGATAACTCCTGCTCAAGCACTTGAACCCGGTTTAGCGCAGCCAGAAGTTTATTCTCTTTCTCTAAACCATCATCCGTTGGTTTCGAATCAAGAGACATGTACTTTTCTTCAAGATCGGACATTCTCTTTGCCATTAAGACATACTCAGAGCTTGATACTGGTGTTGAAAGCTGATCTTGGTTTGGTTCAGTTGTTTTTGACTGTTCACTGTAAACTGAGTTTCCGAATAATGCAGCCTCTGTGAGCTTGCGTGGGACCCCTTTAGATAGCCGGACCATTGCTAGAATTCCCATCACAAAGGCGATAACCCCTCCCACAAGAAAACCATCATCTTTCTTTTGTGGTCCCTTCCCTACGTAAGAGTCTTAGACGATTAAACAGATTGGATTGTAGGGCAAGAAATAATCTTCAGACTTAAAGCTATAATGTCAATAGCTATATTACCTCCTTTGGCGGTTTTTGGAGGTTTTGCAGGTAAAGACAAAGCCATGAACTTGTCAACTGCTGCAATGTGTTTCTCACTAACATTGTCTTTGATGGTTCTCTTCTTCTTTCTCTCCAGAGGCTTCAAAGTTAATAAGTATATAAAAGGTTATTAATTAGGTGGAAAGAAAAGAAACCAAGGTAAAGCTTTTTCTTCATTGTTGACAAAGAAGTTCTTAGCTTACTTCAAAGACCATCGATATTTCTTCTTCTACAAGTATGCGTTCGTCCTCTGAAATAGTCGAGAACTTGACTTCAGGATTCTTCACCATCTGCTTTTTATAAGAACAGCATTGATGTTACTTGTTAGGAAAGACACTCAAAGAAATGTATAAACAATTTTTAGAATCCATAGTTGACCTTAAGAATCTCAGGATCGTTCCATGGGCCTTTATCAGATCGCATGCAACCTCCTTTGTCTTCACAAGTGCAACGGCCGCCAAAGAAATGTGGCAACTCGCTAACACAGGATACCAAAATTTGAAGATATACAAATAAGTACATATAGTAGCTATGTTAAATGATTAAAGACTACTAATCTTACCTAACGTCAATGGCTTCAAGCAATTTGCTCTGGTATTTGTTTCCAAGAACATGAATCTTTGATGTCGTCTTGGGATCAAGGAAAGATTTCACAGGTCCCCACAAGAGCCTGAATCCAGGACCCGCATTGATGATGAACATTCTGTTCAAAGTCTACAAAGAAAAACTTATTTAAAACTTTGTTACCATTTTAATGAAAAGATGTATGAGATTAAGTACCTCAGGGTAATTGTCATTGTCAATCTTGAGAAGGCGTTGTAGAAGCTCCCTCGCACATTTGTTGAAGTTCTTAAGCCCCTAGTATTCGCAAAAATGCCAGATATTTGAAAAAAATCTAAACTTTTTTTCGAATTCATACAATTTGAAAGCAAGAAGCGAGATACATAGGTAACGTACCACGCCTTGCACATCAAAAATGGTCGTGCTTTGATCAATGTGCTTGTTGGCTGCCGCTGAACAAGAAGGAAACTTGATCTTGAACATCTTCTCGAACTCTTTCACATGGTATTTCTCGTACCGGTCCATCGTGGTCACTTGTAGTAGCTTGTTGGCATCTATTTGGCCTAATCTCTCAATGTAAACCGGCCTTCCTTCTTTGTCCACTCCATGATAGCCTTGAGGATAATGTTTGACAACTTCATCGATCTCTTCGAACTCAAAATCCTTCATCATCAGAATTAAATTTAAATTTAATGAACTTGTCATATACTTTATATAAACTCGGCATAAGAGATGTTCTACGAATTTGGGACACAGTATGGACCTCGATGATTGTATCGACTCCGAAATCTTTTCTCCACTGGAGCATGTCACTCCACATTTGCTTTGCTTTCTCAGTGTCAAATTTTCTCGCCTTTAAAAATCTTTGTAGGTCAAACAAACATTAGAGATTCTAATTAAAATCGCAATAATTATAGGAAATTTACTGTCAACGAAACACGATTAAGTATAACGGGTTATAAATTTATTAGTTCTCAAGTGAGATTTGGACCTATTTTGGATCTGATACGTAAACACATCATAATTTTTGTCAGCTGATATATTGATATCATCCACACTGTTTGAAATACGCTCACTATCAAATAAATTTTAATAATTGTTTGAATGACTTGGAAGTCATACATAAGTATGTGGGTCCGTAAATTTGTAAGAAATACGAGCTACCCGTATTATTATGTAATAGGAGTATAACTTTTATTTGGAGAGCAGACTTCTTCCAGTGGACTTGAATTCATTATCTTTGTAACTAATATAAGTAATCTATGAGTTTTAGTTAATTAATTGATCAACTCAACGGTGGTTAAATCTAAATATTTGGACGTTAACAACTAATGTTCAACAAAAGTTAGTTTTCATCATGCCACCTACTAAAATTAAAATACTAATTTATATTTATTTTATTTTGGGATATTTGGCTAGTTGGCTTTGCTGTTGAAGTTGGATTTGGCAAAAAAAATTATAGATTCATTTTTCAAAAATGCCAATCATCTATTTTTTCTTTCACGAGTTGAATTCACGCGCCAGCGTATTCTCTCTGCTTTCATAACAAAATACTACTATTTTTTTAGCCTAACCAGAGGAGAAAAAAACCTGAGCATCATGTGAGGATCATCGTGTTGGGCAGGTAAAAGGTCGTCTTGGAGAAGGAGTTGACGGAATGCATTAATAGACCTTAGATCCTCGGCATTGATGCCACCTGGTTCTGACACGATTCTGCTGCTGGTCCTCCGACTCTTCCTCCTGAACGACTTCTTAAATCTGTTTGATGCGCTGATCGCTTTCTTTCTAAAGGAGCTAATCTTCACTATCTTCCTCTCATCCTCCGAAGTTTCGATATCTAAACCACCCATGGTTCATTAGTTTAAATAAGCATGAGAAAGGAGAATATTATACTAGACAAATGCATTGACTTTATATTACCTTGTTTGGTGTCAGCCATGCTTATATGAACTTAATAGAGAACCTAAAAGAAGATTGAGATTATTCCAAAATAAGTATTGGCCGGATGGCCAGATTATTCATTCAATTAAAAGGACACGAAAATTGAAGCTGAGAAATAAAGCAAAAGATAATTCAAGGTAAGATTGAGAAAGAGAAGATGAAAACTATTTGTTTGTCTTTACCTTATTGTAGATGAATGAATAAGAGGGGAAAGGGTCGAAGATGGTGATGGAGAGGATGATTTGAAGACATATAAAAATACTTGAGTTTCGATCTATTAAGCCATTGATAAGGTCCAAAGATTCTTTTTTTTTTTTTTGCAACTTGTTTTGTCTTAAATTCTGGAAATAGACATGTGTGTGATATATATTTAAATTTGTGAATGACCAATCATTTATGTACAATTAACATATATAATACAAGAGATAATGACACCAATGTTGACTAAGTTCAGCCCACTACTTCGAGATTAAACAATTTTTACATCAACAATGATATACAAGTAAAATAAAGAGCATAATCAAGAAGTGGGATTTGCTGAGTAATGGATTCCAAAATTATACAATCGTATATAACCTTCCCAAAATCCAATTTAGCATAGTAGACTTGATTTTGTATACACCGATTAAAGTACACCTATATGATAACCTTATTCTAAATTGGAGTTTAACACGTTGGACGATTTTATCTTGGTTGACATGTTTTTTCTTACTTATATTAATTAATTGTTATGAACGCATACTATAATCAAAAAAATTTTAATTTGTGAAACTAATGATAACTCATTTCTTTTCAAGCTCGGATCACCGTTTACGAACAACTAGGATAAGACCTGCGTCTTGCGCATAGTGAATATATGTAATTAAAATATAAAATTTTAGTATTGACAAATTTAAAATTTACATATGATTGTTTTTTATGTATTTGAAATTTAAGAATTTTAAAATTTTTATATAGTTATCTAAACGTAGGATCAGAAACAATTTTAATTAGAAATGTAAATCAAATCTTATAATTTAATAGATCTGATTTCATATATCTTTTCACTTTTCAGTGTTCGAGTGATGGAAAATAAATAGAGTGTCATTGGGCTTGATTGGTAGAGTATTAGCAAGTTTCCTAATGTTTTTTTAAGAAGCAACTAGTAAAATATTTGCATTTAAATATATAAAGTTTCAAAACTAATTTAATATGATTTATTTATCTGTCTAATAATATTAGAAAATTATATTTTTTACAAATTATTATTTTTAAAAATTATTTATAAGAAACTATTTTAAATTTTAAATTATTTTTAAAAACAATATTTTAAGTTTTTCAAATACGAATAAATAATTTAAAATTAATTATGGTCATGATTTAACATAACCATAATGATTTAAAAAATTAACAAATTAATAATTAACTCAGTTTTATATCATGATTTAACAATTTAAAAATTAATTATGGTTATGAGAAGTTTACGTTCACGTGTCAGTCCTATTTATCTTCCATTTTTCTCTTGCTATATTTTTTTTAATATTTTGGTTATTACTTGATATAAATATTCATTTTGAATTTTATTCTCATTTCGTTTGTTTTAAAAAATACTTAAGATTTAAAATAATTAAAGAGATATATACTTAGGTTAAGATCTGCACTTTATGCACAATAAATATTTTATATTTATTATTTATTTTATATTTTTCTGCATATTATAAATAATAAATATATATTAAATAACTAAGAAATCAATTACTATTTTGTAATAAATTGGCGTATGCATATAAATTTAACTATTACTCTTGTTTATTCACAATTAGGGTAAATAAATCAAAATAATCAATCTATATATTGTATATGATATATAATTAAATTTAAATGATATAAACATAGTAATATAACACACTTTTAATATGGATATAAATTAAACGAGGTTTCTACTCATATGATTTTATGATTATTTGCATATTTGTGTAACAAAACTTTACACCAACGATTTTTTTTTTAATGTGAGATGTTTAGTAGTTTCAATAATTTATAATCATTTAAAAAAAACAATGACATATTTCAAAATTAAAATATTAACTTTTCAATATATTTTCAAGGCAAATATCAAAATATAAGTATGTATTTTCATACGATGTATAGTTTAATTAAAATGATATTAAATATATAGAAACTAAAATTATTTCTTCATATGGTCTTATAATCATTATATTTTAGTATAGAAAAATTAAAACCTTGATCTTAAATGTTTATGTGGGACTTTTAACAGTTTTAGTAATTTATACTCGTTTTGAAAAATTTGAAATACAATATACACAAAGAAAATATAGATTTTTATTATATGATTCATGTAATTGTGTAATTTATTTTAATAATAAAGAAATAAACAAAATGAAAAAAAGTATACAGATTGTTATCAAATCTTTATTTTTTAAAATCATTAATTGTCATATATATATTTTGATCACATTAGGTAATTCCGTAGGTTTTATTTAAGGAAAGCATGCGAAACAATAAATATTTGATTTATGCGACCAACTATAGCCTACGAAATATTATATTGCTAGAGAATGTAATTTTTAAACTATACATTATATCACATGCTCTAGAATCCTTGAGATTTGAAATGGAAGCCAAAGAGCTATGCCACGTAGGATTAGAGTTATTTTTAATTCTTACAAACCTAAGGTTACAACTTTTTAAATGACTCTCAAATAATATATAGGGGATGGGCTGAATTCTAATAAATGTTACTATTACGAGTGAGAGTAACGAAGAAGAAGATTGTTATTTTAATTATTCTGTTGTTTACATTAGTCTCCCCTATATCCCCTATATATTATTTGGAAATTATTTAAAAAATTATAACCTTAAATTTAAATTAATTAAAAATAATCTCAATCCTATGTGGCAAATCTCTTTATCTTCTAAATTCTATTTAACACAATTCTAGAACACCTTACATATACTATAGTTTAAACATATATTTACTAGAAAGATGGTGGTCATATATCTTATTAATATTAAAAAATTATTATTAATTCTTTCCTTAAATAAAAGCTACGGAATTACCTAATGTGATTAAAAGATATATGACAATTAATAATTTCAGTAATAAAGATTTGCTAACAATTTGTATACCCTCTACCATAATTGTTTAAATATTTGTTATTAAAATAATTTACACAATTACCTTATTTATATAATAAAAATTTATATTTTTTATATATTGTATTTGAATTTTTTTAAACGGGTATAAATTACTAAATTGTTAAATTTCACAAATAAATTTTTTTGATCAATAGTTTAAATTATTATTATATATGATACAAATAATTATAAAATACATGAGTAAGACGTCTTATTTAATATGTTTATATTAATACATATATAAATATATAATTTAAATTAAATTACATACCATATAGAATACATACTTATATTTTGATATTTTTTCATTGAAAAATTTGAGAATCTAATATTTTAATTTTAAAAAATTTTCATTCAATTTTTAATAGTTCAAAATTTTGTTATAAAAATATATTGATAATCATAAAACCTTATAATGATAAAATTCATTTACTAAACATCCATATTTAAAATATATTATATATATATATATATATTGTTAGTGTCATTTAAATTTAATTGTATCTAATATATGATGGATAAAATTGACTGTGTTGATTTATTTACCATAAAATGATTGTTAATAAATAAGAATAATCATTTGATTTAAATGCACACACAAAAATTCCCTATATATTAATTGAGGATCATTTAAAAAGTTATAACTTTAAGTTTGTAATAATTAAAAAAAAACATATCTTATGTGGCAGTTCTCTATGAAATTCTACTTAGAAGAATTCTAGAGCACCTCATATAAAACATAGTTTTAAAACAAATTCCGTTGGTTTCATATAAGACATATCAAACTTAATCTCCTATATATTCTTTCCTTAAATAAAAATTACGTAACTACCTAATGTTATTAAGATATATATGACTATGATTTTAAATAATAAAGATTTGTTAACAATCTGTATACTTTATATCATTTTATAAAATTTTTTATTGTTAAAATAAATTACACAACTACACTAATTATATAATAAAAATTTAGATTTTTTATACATGTTGTATTTTGAAATTTTCCAAACGAGTATAAATTACTAAAACTGTTAAAAATCTCACGTAAACTTTTGTGAAGAAGGTCTAAATTTTTTTTTCAATAATAAGTTACATTGATTATAAAATCATATGAATAAATAATTTTATTTTAATAGATGTTTATGTTAATATATATATATATATATATATATATATATATATATATATATATATATATCATATCATATCATATCATATCGTAACAAATAATTTTACTTTAAACATAATTATAATTTAAAATTTAACTTAATTTCTTATAAAGTTATTTTTTATTTAAAAATTAATTTTGAAAAAGATAATTTTCTGATATTACTAGACAACTAAATAAATTATATTAAATTATTTTGAAACTTTATATATTATAAATGCAAATATTCTACCAACTGCTTCTTAGGAAAGCATTAGGAAACTTGATAATAATGGTCTACCAATTAAGACATGTGACAGTCCGTTTATTTTTCATCTCTCGAACACTGAAAAGTGAATAGATATATGAACCGGACCCATTAAATTATAAGTTTTAATCTACAGTTCTAATTACAATTGTTGCTGATCCTACGTATAGATACTTATATAAACATTCCAAATTTCTAAATACATATAAAAAAAAATCATATGTAAATTGTAAATTTATGATTACTAAAATCTTATATTTTAATTACATACACTCACCGCGCACGGCAAGTCTTATCCTAGTATCTAAACTAAATGACTAAACAGATCTAAATTGTAAATAGCATAATTATTCATTCTAAAAAAAAAACTGATCTAAATAATTAATACATTGAACCAGTGAAAGGAAACAAATTCAATGGGTTAACCAACTCCAATAATCCCCCT